TAATGTTTTTCTTTATCTTCTTCCAGATTTTATCAACCTGTGATTCACAAACTCAATTTTCGAGGTATCTCCAACCCTGATTTCCTTAGTTGCTTCTGGTTTCAGCCTGTTGTTTGTTATCTACTTACGATTCTACACAGTCACTTTTGATCATAAATGTACACAGTTGTAAACAAGTGTTCACGATGATGCTGCAGTGATGACAGATCAACTCTCTGAGGACTCTTGCTCTTATAAAGTGGCGTCTGTGTCACAGTGGATTGAATGCACTGCTGGTGACTCATGTTTGCACTCTTCCCCAGAGAGGATTTATTTTAGCTAAGCCGTCCCGATGCTTTGTTTCCTCTTGTCAGTTGAAGTTGACATTGTAGGATTCTCCCTCTCTGGTTTCATCAGTGCACTCATCATATTAAGTCCTAATTGTACAAGTATCCAACAGCCAGGGGAGCTTCATTCCAACAAATCACACAACTTCTGTTGACGTGTGCACTGTGATGTAATCCTTCTCTCCATCAGTTCATTTTACCGGAGGCGTCCCCCACAGATGAAGTGACTAAAGAGATGGAACAACAGAATGCTCCTCTGGGGCTGAGGCTTCACATCACGACTCTGTGCCTCCACCTAGTGTCTCTTCGCATTCACCCCATCCTTGGATGAAATTTTATTCAATATGTCAAACAATGTACTGATCTGCTCATAAATCTTTAGAGGTTCTTGGGGGGATTATGCAAATCAGTTTGTCTACTTCACTTCTAATGAACTAATTCTAATTAGTTGCTTATGAGATCCAAGACAATCTTTTAATCAGGGATGAAGGAGGTCAAAGTAGTTATGCCACAATGTAAAAATACTCACATGTAAAAGTCCTTCACAATTTCACTTGCAGAAGTGTTGATCAGCAATTTAAAAGAATCCCTTTGTGTTTACAAGATAAATTCATTAAATTCAACATGGAAATTCTTAAATTTACATCTACACCAAACTGTGAATTAATCTGTGCTGGAAATATATGATACCAAAATTGCAGTAGGATAAAAAAGAAAATGCAAGTGCAAGTACCTCTGTAATACTACTTGAGTACAGTACTTGAGTGAATGCACTTTTCAATCCTGCTGTTGTGTAGTGGGTCGTCAGAACGTGCAATTGTGTAAAATGTGTCAACAGGAAATAATACAACTGTTTAAATATGTAGATGGATTCAATCCACAGATCAGTTTTTTCCAGGAATGTTCTCTATTAAACAATAATCACACATAAAATGTTCCATTTATATTTTATATGGGTAGCTGTGTGTATTAAAACAAGTCGCATTAGTTTCATTTTTTATTATTTTAATCCACTGAAGTCAACACAGATAGGGTCAAATGCTGACGGGACCAACGAATTCCCCCCAAAACCCTTGTAACCTACAAAACATACACTTCTGAGAGAGTATCACACTTGCTGGGCGAGGGGCAACAACAGTGCTGAACGTAACAACTCAACAACCATCACCATGAAACTTCCCCAAATGTCAACACTTCACATTATAGCTTGGCATACAAAACCAACACTTGACAAGGCAATGAGGAAGAAATAATCCAGTGTTTTACAGTACTGACGACCCGTGGTTTCGGTGAATAAAGTTTACGACCTTGAGTGACTCTGGTGTCTCAGAGGGTAAGGAAAGAACAACTGGATATCTGGTAACTCATTCACAACACTAACACCTAGAACAGTGGACACAATATCTGCACACTGTGAGGGAATTCATACACATACTGGAGCATTTTTCATCAGGTCTCAAAAGATCATGGTTCCACTTCTTTAAAGAGCCTTCATAGATACAGTGCGCTGTCAATATCTTACAGAGGAGGCAAGCAAGGAGTTCAACTCAACGAATATCCAAACACAAACAAAAAGTTGCAAGCTCACATACAGGTTAACCATTTAGTGCAAAAACAAATTCTGTCAATACTAGGTAAAAGGCTTGTGCCCTGGCTGCTATTATTACAAAGCTTACACCACTGTTGTGTGTGTTTTGTGTGCGTGCGTGCGTGTTTGTGTGTGTGTGTGCTCTTGTACAGCTATATGTGAGGACCAGTTTGAGCCTACAACCTACGGAGTGAGGACATTTTGGTTAAAGGTGGGTCCTCACTTTCTGACCCACATTTAATGGACTGTTTGGGGGTTAGGGTTTTAGGGTTAGGGTTAAAATAAGGTTTAGGTTAGATTAAGGGTTAAGGTTAGGCATTTAGTTTGGATGGTTAGGCTAAGGGGCTAGGGAATGCATCGTGTCAATGAGTGTCGTCACTAAGATAGAAGTACAAACGTGTGTGTGTGTGTCAGTGTGTGTGTACATCATCTGCACATATGCAGCGATGGTCTTATAGCACCAGGTGCAGAAAGGTTGTCTGCATATCCAGCTTCATCTTAGTGCCTGTCTGCATTCTCAACAATATACACCGCTCTGATTATTGGAAGCTTGCCCTGACAACCTTTTCACAAACATGAGGAAAACAACAAAATGATAATATGAGGGGTGGGGGGAGGTGATTCTCAGACAAAATATTATGTAGCAGCCATTTCTCCTCCCTACTCCCATATTCAGGCTGAAACTGAATGAGTGGTTTAACTCTAAAATACCCTTTCTTTTCCTTTCAGTGCAGTCAGCATATTCTAAAAGACGACTTCAATAAAACATAAAACATCAATTCACACAAAATAAAGAAATGAAGAAAGTGCAGCCATAGCACAAAAGGAAGACCAAAGTGAATTGTTCAGCTCATACTGCAAACGTCAGAGATGTAAAAACAATATTCTATGGTCTAATCTTCCATTAGTATTTTGAGATTTTTGCATTAACAAAGTCACATTTTCCTACTGAAACAGCAGTGGAGCCACGTTACAACAAGGAGAGAGGAGGTTTTAACGTTTAAATAAAGGTGATGGTGCTACACCACCACCAGCACATTCTTATTAATATCTGGGAAATACACAGCGCAAGAAGAGAAACTGTAAACAACTGCTGTTTCTAAATTGCCTGCTCGTGTAAACAACAACTTTTTAGGTCAACTTTCTGAGCCAAAAGAAGCAACTCAACAGCTAAAACATGTACAGCAAGAAATTATACAACAAATGTAAACAAATGTAAACAAATAACCTCCATGGATAATCAAACTGGGCTTTAAAAAAGCTGTTTCAATTCACTTGATCTTTCCTTGAAGACTGTGGAATATGGCAGGAAAGAAAAAAAATGGAATAATGCTTTCTTTCTTTTTTTGAATGAGGTGACATGGTGGTAGTGTGTGAATAGAATGGATGGAGTGGTTTGGGTTGAGTGCAGAGGGGGAGGAGTCAGAGGTGACCACATGTCATGTGACAGTGGCTTCTTGTCCCGTGTGGCCCTGCACTCAGTCATGGGAGGAAATTAGCCGAGGCTGGTGATGTTGGCTTTTCCACCAGGAGGAGCCACGATGCGTTGAGTGTTGCGACGAGGGATGTTGTCGTCAACTTGGGCACCTGAAAAAACCACCAAGATAGAGTAGGATATAACTTCAACTTCTAGTTGCGACAGAGGACAACAGAAGATGTGCTTCGACTCACCAGACAAGCTGAATCCAGACTGGTGAAGGTTGCGCACTGGCTGGTGAGCAATCTGCTGCTGCGGCTGCTGCTGCTTAGCAGGGGAGGTCTTCACCGAGGAGACTGTGGACATGACCTTGGGAGTCACTGTCACTTCGCACACCGGCCCGTCGTACTGGCCCCTGGGAACTCCTCGCAACTCTGTGAGCTACACATGCAGGAAAAATCATCAGACCACGAGCTCCCTATACTGTAAGGGCCAGATCTACTAAGATCCCAAACGCTAAATTGCATGTGCATTTTAACAGATTGCATGTTTGGTTGGTTGGCGTTTTGTGGGTGATCTACTAAAAATAATTGCGTAAATGATAACAGGTGCAAACATGGTGGAGGCAGTAGTATTTAAGTAAGTGTTTTGCGTGCATAACTGGTTTCCACAATGGAGCATTATGGAGAGGAGAGTGACCGTAAGCACAAAGCAAAATTTTATGCCATGGAATTGGAGGTGTTAGTGGAAGAGGCAAACAAACATGTTGTTGAGCTACAGCAAAGAAATATTCGTATGACTCCAAGAAACACGAAATGGGAGAGTATCTGCGAGAAAGTAAATGCTGTGGGTAAAACAAAAACCGATGAAATCAAGAGAGGATAGCAGGACATAAGAAAATAGCTCATAATAAAACCTCGGCAAATAAAACAGGTGGGGGGCCAGTGGAAGAGATGTCTCTGACCAATACTGAGCAGCAGGTGCAGTTCACTTTCTGAAAAACAGCTCTCTCTCCGTCTTCTTTCATGCCGTCTCCTCCTCACCACAATAACTGCAGCCATCTGTGTGCAACACTGTGCCGATTAGCACATACCTTTCAAATGTATTAAATATAGACGCAGTCAATCACCACAATTATCTTGAGGCTTTGTAAATCAATTCAAGATTTGCATCTACTCTGGTAGAAACTTGGTAGAAAATTGCATATTCATTAAGGCAAACGTACTAAATAGAGAGCGCGTGTTATTCTACACGCAATCCTCAGTGTGCACCGTTACTTGATCAGCTTGCATGTTTTTTTTGCAGGTGAGGTTTGACCACGTTTTACACGCACAGAGCTTTATTAGATCAGGCCCTAAGAGTTCCTCTGCATGACGGCGTCTGCTCGGACTCACCCTGCTGCGAGCCTTTATCCTCTTGTACACGTGGTCAGGGAAAGGTTTGCGGCTGATGTAGCGCCCGCAGCCTTCAGTGGTGTGAAGGTTGCCCTCCTCCAACACAATCTTGCCCTGGCTGATCACCACAGATGGACCTCCACGCAGCTCTGTGCCCTCGAAGATGTTATACTCCACAGCCTGAAAGAAGAGATTTGATTAGGAGACGACCACAACACTGCTCAGACGAACACACATGGTGTGTCTTATTACGTGTTTAACATTAATGATGTTTTTCTGATACATTGTGATATGAATATGTTCAATAAAAAGGAGGGATGGTTCCTTTTTTTGCTACATGATTATTTAATAATCAATGCTACAGGATTATTTGATGAGCAGCAACATATCTGATAGTTCTTGTTTTACCTGCTCCAACAGGACACTGTTCACCTGCATTCTGTATTATTATGTTACATTACTAAATCTTTTGTTGCTATAGTAGTAAAGTGTGTAAAACATTAAACTGCTACCATACTTCTCTTAACAGAGCTGGCATTATAATGACTTATGATGTGAAAAGTGTATTGCAGCCAATAACATATAGTTTGAAGAATAAAGTCTCAACATGTGACTGACCAGGTTGTGACTCTTAGCTGAGATGATCTTGGTGATATCTGGGTCCCACAGCACGAGGTCAGCATCAGACCCCACAGCGATGTGGCCCTTGCGGGGATACAGGTTGAAGATCTTGGCTGCGTTTGTGCTGGTCACTGCCACAAACTGGTTCTCATCCATCTTGCCAGTCACCTTTTGAGGACGAGTAATCACATACAAGCATCTCAACATACACAAAAGGTTTACAGGGTGATTTGCTCTACAGTTCTTCATGATATCACTTTTTGGAACATGAGAAATTAGCTCACCACACATTTGTCCCAGATTAGGGACATCCTCTCCTCAGTGCCGTTGGTGCCCTCTGGGATTAGGGTGAAGTCATCTTTTCCTACTGCACGCTGGGAAGTCAGGAAAGTGCAATGAGCACTGCCAGTCACCTGCAAGTCCCCACTAGATAAGAAAGAAAGAAAATTAAAAATGACATTGTCATCTTTGGCAATTACTCAAGACAGAAGTGTGACATACAGTTTATAAAAAGTGCATTTAAGTGCCACTACAGCATCCTTCTGCACAAAGGACATCTCCTAATGAGATGTCACTAAAAGAGCTACAGCTGGGTAAAAATAAAATGCCTTCGAAAGCAGTCACATGTCAAACTGTGTTCCTGCCAGTTTTAGGTCCTGGCACAGAGCGCCTACCATGATAACAAGGAGTTGAGGTAGTCGGGGGTGGTGGGATCAGGGCTGAGTGGTGGAGACGTGACATAGGTCGCTGCCTTGGCCCAGTTCTTGCTCCAGTAATGGGTACCATCTGTGCCCAAACTGGCAGATATGGGCTCTCCATAAACCACAGCACCTATGGGAGAAGACAGGCTGATGTCATTGTGAAGTGGACGTGTGTCAGGACAGTAAGTTCCAAGTTTCTCTTCTTACCCCTTTTCCTGGCGAGAGCAATGACGTCAGCGGCGCTCTTGCTCATCACCTTGGTGATGTAGAGGGGGCAGTTGGTCTGATTGGCTATGGTGACAGAGCGATTGACTGCCTCGGCCTCCACCTGCAGACGCACACAGTCATCATCATCATTCCAGCTCTCTCTTTTCTATTTTAGCTACAGTTACTGAAAACCTGTCCTCTGACTCACCTCCTCTGGGCGGCTGAGCACATGACCTTCAGGGCCAGTGATGCCCAGCTCTAAAATACGTCGCTGCTCCTGAAACGTCCCCACAAATACAGTATGAGCTAAAATACAAATGAAAATGATAAAAATAAAACTTATACAACTTTGTGAGTACTTTTGTTACCTCTGCAATGATGTCTCCGTTCTCAGCATGCACCTGTGCAATGGCTCCGAGATCTCTGATGACACTGAACACCTCATAGATCTAAAGAAAGTATAACAAACGCTCATCAGCTAAGAGGTCAGGTATCCACATCAAAGACATTTAACAGCCTAGTAAACATATATATCCGCCCATATTCACTGACACATGACTGAGCAGAGATCCCACCAACATTGTCCAGAAGCAAAGCCTACCTGAGAGTCAGAAAGTTGGAAAACATCCTTATATGCCAAATAGACCAGGAAAGAGTTGACACCTGAAGACAGAAAACTTATGAGAGAGAACAGCCAAAGGTGGAATAAAGAGCAAAAGAGGGGAAAACCCAGAGTGAAAGAAAAAAGTTAAATCAAAAGGATAAAAAATATTACAGAGCGGAAATATTGATTTACTGTTTAATAATTCACTCAGTGAGAATGTGTAGATGTTTCCCCCCCGTGAAAAGCCTAACAAACATGCAGCAGGTAAGTCAGTGATTTGTGGAGAGGTAGGTCATTGACCGCATACCATGATCCTTCACCAGGGCCTCCATATCTTCCTGAGTGCCTTTGTTCCACTCAGTGACGTCCACATGCAGAGAATAGTCACAGCAGGACTTGCTGTCAGCCCACTCCCTCCACTGCTTGAAGGCAGCAACCAGACTGACGCCAGGCTCCGGCACCACATGGTCGACTACACAACACAAACAAACAGGTTAGATTTAATGTGCATAAACCGACTGCTTAATTAAATCATGCGCTTGACAGCTTGTACATCTGCAGTGTTATAAACCCTGCAAAAGGCTTCACTGTGCTTTTAAACTGGTCGAAATAATGTGGAAATCAGTGTGAGATGATACATACCGATCATGGTCGTTCCCCCAGCCAGGGCCGCCCGGGTGCCCTGGTAGAAGTCATCTGCTGCCACCATGCCTCGATCAGGCATCTGGAACCGGGTGTGCACGTCAATACCCCCAGGCATCACAATTCTCCCATGAGCCTCTATGATCTTAACTCCCCCAGGAACAATGAGGTTGTCTCCGATTTGCCTGAAAAAGAAAAATGAGAAACACACAAAATACTTCAGAGATCATGACAAACACTAAAGCAGCTTTCAGACATGGGAGGCTGTATGTGAAAAAGCATCTCAGGATGAAGAAGAGGTATGATGAAGATGAGTTGCTAAAATAAAACTTAGTTCATCTTAAGAATTGATCTTTAAATTGAACTTACTTGATGACTCCATCTTCCATGTAGATATCAGCCAAGAAGGACTGGTCATCATTCACGATCTTTGCTCCTTTGATGAGAAGACGATCGCTCTGGAACAAGGAGACAACATTCACATTAAGCATAAAAATCATCTTTACACCTGTTGAGCTGCGTCAAAGAGCAAGAGATCATCTCCTTTAGTCACGTTTAGCTCATAGTTAAATAACTGCATTTTTTTACCAATTTCACAGGTGGCACAAAAACTTCAGTGATTAGTTTTCCTAGGGGATTTATTCACATATAATAGACGTGTCATTTGAAGAGAGGAAGCTAATCTTGTTCAAAACCTTTAAATAAACTGCTGAGTGGTAGCTCCACCTGTATGAGAAGAAAGAAGAGTGTAGTGCATTGGCCTACTTCTCCTACAGGCTTCCTGAGGTCTCTGAGGACAGTGCGGAGAGATAACGAAGACAAAAGTGTTTTACTGCAGCAGTCACTCTGTTTCTTACGTTCATGATGGGTGGACGCAGACAGAAGGAATGCATTATGTATACAAGTCATGGCTGACTGGCCTGATTTCTCAGGTCGTTACTCTCCTATAATGGGGTCATATAACCTTGTGTCCTCTCTGTACCTGAGGGCTCAGCGATGAGTGTGTGAGGTCGTAAAATTCCTTAGATCAAACAGGCTTTTGGCTGAAGTCGTAAACTCCCTTAGTGTATATAAAAGAACATAGAGGATATAGAGACCCACACACGTCTCTGCTGTAAAAATAGATCCTGTAATCTCCAATTATAAAACTGAAGTGATCACTAAAAAAAATCTATGGACTGAGTAAAGGGCCAAGAGTCAAGCAGCGTAGGTGAATCTATAAATGAAAGAACAGATACTGAATGTGTTAGGTGCACACACAATTTAATAATAGGTTGATAAAATCAATTAAGTCTAATACACCACTGCAACTAACTATTAACTTCATTATCGATTCGTCTGCAAATTATTTTTTCAATAAACTGATTTATCATTTAGTCTATTACAAATGTAAAAGAAATGCTTATCACAACATCGACAACCATGACATCCACAAAACAGTCTTCTATTGTTCAAAGTCCAAATATCCAAAATTATTTAATTCACCACGATACTGGACAAAGGAAAGCATAAATCATAGTTTATTAAGTATTTATTCATGATGTTTGATTGAAAAATGACTCCATTACCAAAATAGTTAGTTAGTTTTCTGTCAACTAACGAATCAATTAATCGACTAATCGTTTCGGCTCTAATTCATTACAACCGTCTTGCAACAGATCTTATCCTCATGAAGGTTATATTCTTCAGTGTTTGTGAAAAGGGTTTCAGGGAGGTACTGATTCCTTCAACTTATGATCATTTGGGAGGATGTAGTTGGTGGTGCTGTTTATACTTCTTTGCATATACTCATCAATATAAACAGGAGGGGCAGATTCAAGAAAAGTTGGATCGAGGGCAACAGGGACTTGTTGTCGATACTGAAGAAGTCTGAAGAAGCCTCTGAGATGTGAGGTCAAACGTCTTCAGGTATCTACAACCAAGTCCTGTTGCCTTTGATTCTTCCTCTCATGGACAACCATGAGCTGGATGTCTGAGACATCTTTACAGACAGGGTGAAAGAAACAACGGGAACACAGAATGACTCACAGAATATAATGGTTTTCCAGCATTATCATCATCATTACATTTGACAAACTGCTGCTACTAGGGATTTTCTTCACCATCATTTAATGCAGTCTTTACTATTTTGGATAAAGTGAGCAATCAAATAATCTTCAAAAATAAGACACACAAAGAAGTATGCTCATTATGACTGTTGTTTTAACTGAGCTAAACAATGAATAGATGTTGTCATAATTGATATGTTTTTACCATTATGCTTATTAATAAATGAACAATGTCTACATATGAAGATATGCGTTACAGTAAATTGAATCGATAAAGACAAAGAGGCTATTTAAGCTACATCCTTGACACAAATACACTAACTATAATTCAGGGACAGAGCCTAATCTTGGTGTTTTATTAAAATGTCTGCGGTGAGTGAAACTACCTTCTTCATCCCTCCCTGGTAAGAGCTGTCTGACTGTGACTGTGTGTGTGTGGGGGGGGGGCTGAGGTCCCTGTTGTCTGCGTGTTGTGTCTGTGATGTCAGGGCTGTATGTTTCTAACCCTGACCTGTGAGATGTCACAACTACCTTCATAACTGTACAGAACCAGACCAGCACATTTCAGCAGACAGCTCAGTGCCATCAAATGAACTTAAAGCGGCTGCTGGGATGTGTTGGAACTATCTGGTTATAGCGGCTGCATGATGAAAGCTTAGAGGGAAAAACAAGGTTTGGATGGGTGCTGTCCAATGACCTACTTTACCAAAGAGGGTTTACTTCTAATAACCATCACGGCATCTCTACTGTTGATACTGTGCTTTCTGATTTAAAGGCCTCAACACACACACACACAAACACATGACAGATCCACAAATCAACATTTAAAAGAGTATTTCACACGATCAGGTCCTGGCTGCAGGATTGGAAGAGAATGGGAGGGAAAGGGCTGAAGAAGGCAGGAGAAATCAAGAGGATGGAAGATGAGGAGATGATGGAGCCAAGTGCATGAATAGGATGACTACACCATGAGATGAGGAGAGCTAATGTAGGAGCACAGATGTAAACACACTGTAAATAGAGAGATACTGTCGGTGTCTCATTGTTCGTGCCATGCTGTCAGTGTGTGGATCTGCTGGGCTGCTGCTGACAGGCTCGGTGTAAATGAATGGAAACGTCAGCTAATCACTGGCTAGCTGCTGCTCTAATCTTGAGGCGTTTGACGTTAAAATACAACCCACCGATTCATACATTTGATGATTAATCCCCCAAGTGACTAAACAATACTCACAGTGATTCTTGGGATGTTCTTCTTTCCTTGGTAACCCGACATTTTAACACAGCTGTCCCCTGCCGCTCGCTCGGCTAACGCTAGCTAGCTCGCCTGGAAAAGCTCAGCTGCCCCTGAAAGGATGAATGGATGCTTCTGCTCGTTGGCCGGTCGACGCCCCGGGCGGCTCCCGACGACAGAGAGTGAGGTTTACACAGAGCAGCCCGACAAATAATCCGTAGTGAGCAGATGTGTGTTCGCCTGAGAGAGCTTTGTGTGAATGTACAGCTGGAGAAGGTCCCTGAAGACAGGACAGACACCAAGACAAGGGCCACAGAGGTACCGCGCATGCGCACTGCCCCGCCCTGCACAGCGCCAGGCTTCTCTGGTGTGAGATGGAAACAGGTTCAACACTTTATATAAAGTATCTGGTTCAGCATCATCTGTTCAGCTAACTGGCTGGGTCTACAGGCTCCTGACCACTGCAACAAT